AGCTGCAGACCCTCGTGGTGCGTGTTACAGTTCTTAAAAATGGTGTGTCTGGAGTTTGTTCCTTCAGACATTCAGATGTGTCTGGAACTTCTTTCTTCTGTTGGGTTCATGGTCTCACTGTCAGGAGTGAAACTGCAAACCTTGGTGATGAGTGTTATAGCTCTTATAGGCAGCGCGTCCAGGGTTGTTCATTCTACCCGGTGGGTTCGTGGTTTCTTTGCCTTCAGGAGCGAAGCGCAGACCTCCATGGTGAGTGTTATGGCTCATAAAGGCAGTGTAGGCCCAAACAGTGAATAGCAGCAAGATTTCTTGCAAACAGTGAAACAACAAGGTGGAACGACACTCCAGCGGGTTGCCCTGCCTGGCTCCGGCAGCCTGCTTTTATTCCCTTATCTGACCCTACCCACATCCTACTGATTGGTCCATTTTACAGAGAGCTGATTGGTCCATTTTGACAGAGTGCTGATTGGTGCATTTACAATCCTTGAGCTAGAGACAGAGTCACAGAGTGCTAGTCCTCCAAGTCTCCACTAGGTTAGCTAGATACAGAGTACCAATTGGTGTATTTACAAACCCTGAGCTAGACAGAGTGCTGATTGGTGTATTTATAAACCCTGAGCTAGATGCAGAGTGCTGATTGGTGCATGTACAATCCTTGAGCTAGACACAGAGTGCTAAAGGGAAAAATTCTCCAAGTCCCCACTAGGTTAGCTAGATACAGAGTGCTGATTGGTGCACATACAATCCTCAGGCTAGATATAAAAGTTCTCCAAGTCCCCATCCGGTTCAGGAGCCCAGCTGGCTTCACCCACTGGATCCTGCACCGGGAGCTGCCCACCAGTCCCGAGCTGCAAGTGCACTCCTCAGCCCTTGGGCTGTCCATGGGACCAGGCGCCGTGGAACAGGGGGCGGCGCCCGTCGGGGAGGCTCAGCACAGGAGCCCACCGCAGGGGGCAGTTCAGACATAGCGGGCTGCAGATCCCGAGCCCTGCCCCGCGGGGAGGCAGCTAAACCCTGTGAGAATTTGAGAATTTGAGTGCAGTGCTAGTGGGCCGGCCCTGCTGGGGTACCTGGTGCAACCTCCGCAGCTACTGGCCTGGGTGCTAAGCCCCTCACTGCCCTTGGCGGGCACCACCGGCCGGCAGCTCCGTGTGCAGGGCCCGGCGAGCCTGTGCCCCTGCCCGCCGGAACTCGCACTGGCCCACGAGTGCCCTGCATAGCCCCGGTTCCCGCCTGCGCCTCTCCTTCCACACCTCCCGGCAAGCAGAGGGAGGAGGCTCCGGCCTCAGCCAGCCCAGAGAGGGGCTCCCACGGTGCCGTGGCAGGCTGAAGGGCTCCTCAAGCGCAACCAGAGTGGACGCTGAGGCTGAGGAGGCGCTGAGAGTGAGGGCTGCTAGCGCATTGTCACCTCTCATAAGGACGCAGCATAAAGGTGGCCAGGAAGAGAGGCCTCACCAGAACCTGACCATCCTGACACCCTGATCTGAGACTTGCAGCCCCCAGAACTATAAAAATAAATGTTTCTTGTTTAAGCCACCCCATCTGTGGTACTTTGTGATAACAGCCCGAGCTGCCTAGACACCCGCTTCTCCTCTCATTTTCTTTCTACTGTCTCGCTGTAATACTCTCTTCCAGAAGGAGGATGTGGTGCTGGTGACCCTGACTGCCTATGCAATGCCACTTTGCTGCATTTTTGCTGCTGTATCATTACAGCTGGATGAACTCTACCTATATTGCATTGTCTAAAAACTTTTTGACCAGTTTGACCAGGGGTGGCACTAAACTCCTTTTTCTTCATTGTACACATCCACTAAAAACAACTCATTCTAAAAGCAGAGGAAAAACTGGGGAGAGAAAACACGGAAGGAGAAGTCAAAGAGGAAGATGTCAGACAGGCACAGTGAGGCTCCAATGCACCCCCCTCCACCCCTGCCCCCTGCCGAGGCCCTGCATCCCCCGCTGCTCACTGCTCCCCTCCTTGGCATCTTCCCTGGCTACTTTGCTGCCATTTTTCTTCTCCCACTCCTGATGAAACTCGCTTCAACCCATCTGAATCAGTTTCTTATGTAGTTTAAGGAGTAGCTTAGGGACTGAGAGAAACATCACTGTCAGTCACGGATACAAAAGCCTGCTACCTGGATACCTACACACCTGCTTAAGGTGGTGCAGCTTTGCTGTGGTAGTGCATTCAGGCAAGAAATCACCCATTCCTCGGTAAATAAAATTAATTGGCAGTCATCACTTTTTATCAAACTTTGATTTCCATGACTCCATCCTCTGGGGTGACAGAAAAATGATCTCTGTGCCAATGGTTGAGGACCAGAAATCCTCCCTCTCAAATAATATCTGTGCAGGTTAACTAGAGCCATCTCCAGCTAATATATCCACCTGGGTTTCAGAAAGTGCTCATCTGGAAGGAAATGCTAGCCCAACACATTATCCAACAGAAATATAATGGGAGCCACAAATGCAAGCCATGTATTTTACATTTTCTAGGAGCCACATTTTTTAAAACATAAAAATAAGTCAGTGAAATTATTTTAAAAATACATTTTCTTTAATACAATATATTCTAAATATGTTAATGCATAAGCAATATAGAAAATTTGAAGTATTTAACATTTGTTAAACTAAAATCTTCCAGTCAACTGTGTATTTTACGTTAAAGCACATCTCTATTCAGACTAGCTACATTCCATTGCTTAATGGTCACATGTGACTAGTGACTATTGTATTGGACAGCACAGCTCCAGCCAAATGAAAGGAAAGGTGAGACCTTGGCATATCTGGAGATGAGAAAGGCCTCCTGCCATATGGACTCCCTCTCCTAGGCTGGAAAACACAGGCTTATCCCAGAGGCAATGAACTGAATGCTCTTTTGAAATTTGAGATGTTTTCCCATTGCTTGTTAACTTATGAAAGGTACTGAAACCAACATCTTTTTTTTTTTTTTTTTTTTTTTTGAAATGGAGTCTCTGTTGCCCAGGCTGGAGTGCTGTGGCGCAATCTCAGCTCACTGCAACCTCCACCTCCCGGGTTCAAGCGATTCTCGAGCCTCAGCCTCTTGAGTAGCTGGGATTACAGGTGTGCACCACCACACGTAGCTAATATTTGTGTTTTTAGTAGAGATGAGGTTTCACTATTTGGCCAGGCTAGTCTTGAACTTCCGATCTCAAGTGATCCACCTGCTTCAGCCTCCCAAAGTGCTGGGATTACAGGCGTGAGCCACCATGCCCCACCTTCAAACCAACATCTTAAATATTGTTATAATTTTAAATATTCTAACAGAAATTCAGAACAAAAATTTCCCCACGGGTTCTTAAATGTTAGTAAAGTGCCAATAATTTCTAAGAGCAGAGAATAGCTTGATGTCTGTCTCCTCTTAACACTTTTGTGAAGCCAAAAGCACCCTGCCCACTATGCAATGTGCTGCCAAAGATTTTACCCCTTGATCCCTTGGGAACGTGATGACTGTCAATTAATTTTATTTGTTGAGAAATGGGTTATTTTTATGCTCTTTTGCCTGCATGCACTACTACAGCAAAGGTGGTCCATTTCCAGCAGGTGTGTAGGAACCTAATAATAGCAGGCTTTTGTATCTGAGACTGACAGTAATGTTTCTCTCAGGTGAAGCCGTGAGATTTATTTTCACTGGGAATCTCATAAATTCAGGACCTCAATTGTAACAATCTACCATGGAGACCATGCATCAGGTTCATTCATACATGCCATTAGCTCCATTAGTGCTGAAATGATACCCAAGCCCTTGACATCTCTTCCTACTTACACCTAAGTCTGCCTTTTATATAGCTCAGAGACATTTAATGCTGGAAATTTCTACAGTGGTAGGGTACTGCTAAAGGCTAGTAAGATGGACTTGAGTTTAAGGAGCTACATTTTTTGATGGGCTAGAAAGGTGTGTTTTCAAGGACTCCTTATGGCCACTCATCTTTTATCTCTTTGTTGGAACCTCTGTCCTTAATTACTCAGGCCTTTATCCTCATCTGAGGGGTTAACTGATAGAAATTGATAAAGGATAAGCTTTCATGTCCAAGAGGTATTTGTGATTTTATTAAGAAGTGCCAAAAAAGACTTCAGGCCTAAAAGAAATGAATCTGTATGGGAAATACCATGCTAATAGAGTTTTCCTGGATCACCTCAAATTGCACCCTTGCCGACTTTAAAGCTCACTTGGGTTAAGAAACTGGTCTTTCTTCATTATCGCTTGCCCCAGAAAGGGCATGGCAAACTTTTCGCTATTCATTTATTTATTTATTTAGAGACGGAGTCTTGCTCTGTCGCCCAGGCTGAAGTGCGGTAGCATGATCTCCGCTCACTGCAAACTCTGCCTTCCAGGATCATGCCATTCTCCTGCCTCAGCCTCCCAAGTAGCTGGGACTAAAGGCACCCGCCACCACGCCTGGCTAATTTTTTGTATTTTTAGTAGAGACGGGATTTCACCGTGTTAGCCAGGATGGTCTCGATCTCCTGACTTTGTGATCCGCCTGCCTCCGCCTCCCAAAGTGCTGGGATTACAGGCATGAGCCTCTGTGCCCAAATCTCATTTTTTATTTTAATTGAATTAAAATTCAAATCAAAGCATAATTCTACTCGATCATAGCTCTTGTGAAAGATTCTGAGGGAAAAGAATAACATGAAATTTGGGATGGCTGTTGTTTGTAGATTGGATTTTCATGGATGGATGAATCATTCCCATGGTTAATTGAAAGTTAAATGCATATAAACAAGAGTTGGCAAAGGCTGATTCTGAACACTCTCAAGAGGCTCCCAAGTTTTGTTTTGTTTCTTTTTTCATGAGCACCCAGAATCTTTCCTCTCACTGGATCCAGATTTTATTCTCAGGGTATCTAACCAGATGACGCAACATCTGTGCTCTCTTTTAAGAACGTGAGAAATGAAGCTTTTTCATTTTTCTTCTCTTCAGCTTCTGGGAAATCTAATCAAAACTTCTCAGACTTTCCTTTTCTTGTTTGCTTTAGAAGACAGCTCGCTGGAAGGGTTCTGTGGAGGTCTCCCACCTGTGGAAGAAGGTGATAGAAAAATTAGCCTGATAATGGAACTGTCGACCCAGGTTTCCCTTCAGACTGAGAGGATCACTCAGCTGAAAGAAGTTTTGGAGGAAAAGGAAAGGAAGATTCAGCAGCTGGAAGCTGAGCGGAGTCCCCATCCTCCCCAAGAGGTCAAGGACCCTCCAGGATGTTTACCAGAAGCCCCAGTTTTCTCTACTGATGACGTCCCTCCTGTGGTCTCTGATGAGAATTTGTAAAGATTCCCAGTAAGAAAACAATAAAAGTTTATTAAGTGTCATCCAGGTAAAGTCCGATCCCAAGTAGTGTTCTAGGTGACAAACTCAAGTACAAGTTCATGCATTTGACTGTATACTATAATGTTTGTATTGGAAGGAAACAAATTAAAGGAAATGTTCAGGAGCAAACACTGCATGTTTTCCCTTCGGACAGCAATCGTCACGTAAACCACACAGCTGTAGAATACTATGTTTTTAGACATTTCTGGTAGCAGTAGGGGAGGGAAGAAAACAAAACTAGACAGATGGTGAAAGAACTTAGCATTATCCTCTTACCAGAGATTTGTCACACTGCAAGGGAGGGGCGGCACCGACCCCATTTAGTATGCAGCTCTATTGTGAACAGAAAGCTGTCACAGAGGGCCAGTTTCAAACTGGTGAATGCGCGGGTCTTTAGCAGGAGCTAAAGAGCAGGAGCTGTCAGCAGAGTAAATAGCCATGAGGTCTGTCCTTTCATGTCCTCAGGAGTTGATTTCTTTATGACATGCATTTTATTAACATTAGCAAGGATAGAAAGGAAATAAAACTAAAGCAATAAAAAAAAAATTAAAAATGGGTGAATCAAAGCTGCAGTCTTTTGGGAAAAGTGTCCTGGTATAGCATCTCCCTGGGAAAAAACATAACACTGATTTTTCCCTTAGGAACAAGACTAAAACCAAAGCAAAATACAATCTTCTGTTATGATTGTACCAATGTGCTGTGAACAGTGCAAAACACTGGCAGGAATAATGGAGAATGGGCAATGGAAATCTGCCCTGTAATTAATGGAATAAAAGAAATCAGATCATATTCCTTTTCCACTCAACCCCCTCAAATAAACTATTTCCCACTCAAAGGGAGCAGCTAGGCACTAACTGTGAGGAAGACTTCGGTCCTTAGTTCTTACTGTTCTGGTACAGCAGGACTCAGACAAATAGCTCTAGCTGTCTCATGAGTATGACTGTAATGCTAGTTCTCAATTTAATTCAACTAGTTCAACAAATCCTCATCAAATACTCTTGTATCTGGAAGGCACAATTATAGATGTTAGAAATCACAGCAAACATGAGAATCACCATTTTCACCATCCAGAAGTTCATAGACACACAAGGATCTCCTTAAAGTAAGGCTGATTGTATTGAGAGATGGGAAATGGGAGAAAGGAAGTGGGTGAATGTGGGGTAAACCTGATCAGCATTGCTTTAGCAGAGGTTCTCAGACATACTGAGCATGAGTAATCAGCAAGAATGTATATTCCTGGCCTCTAGTTTAGGGTCCAGGGATATGCATTTTAATAAATACATGTGGTATTCCTGATGAATTTATTCCAGAAACTACATTTTAGGCCACATTGGCTTAGGGGTGGCTTCAAGCAGACCTATTATACTTTTGCTCCTAGACTGATAGACAATCCCCAGAAGGAGAATTTCTCCTTGAAATCTGGGATGAGTCTTCTACACTATTTACCTATTGCATAATCTGATTACGGATCCTGACTATCTACAAAACACATTTTCCAAATGTGATTTTTCAAAAACAAAAAGGAATTAATTGAGTTCTTGACTCACATAAGAAAACTTGTTGATATTGACTCCAGAGTTGCTACTCCACCACCAAAAAAACCCAAAAAACATGGGTCCTATCAGTAGCTTCGGTTTTCAACCAGGGCAAGAATTTCCCATATTTGTATTTAACCATTTAACCTCAGTTTTGCCTACAATGGCTACAAGTATGTACAGGTGCAGTTCTATATCAGAAATGAAACCAACTTACTGATCATGAATGTACCCCAGAAAGTAGTTAAAATACCCCAGAAAGTAGTTAAAAATACCTCTTTATCTTTTCCATAGGGTGCACTTCAGTCCCTATAGAATCCACTTCAGAAATCCCTTCTTGCTGGTCCCTCCTTTTTCTCACCTCCCCAAAACCCATGATTTCCCTGATCTTTTCTATCTCTCTGGCCTAGGTGTCCCTGTTGCACTCATGAAGGGCCCATTGTCCCTGACCCTATAGTGAGACTGAGGGTTAGCATGTTCTTACTGTGTATTTGTAGGAGAAAGCTTTAAATCCTTCCCTTTGTTAAGAGTGGACCATCTGCAAGATAAACTGTCATCTCCACAATTTTCCTGTGTTATTATGCTAACCAAGTTTCCATCTCTTTATTTGACCAAAGATTGTCTTAATCTCTTGGGATATTGGGAATGAGATATCCCAGTCTCACTATAGGAAAGTAGAGAGAGAGAGAGAAATTTTCATCACATTCCAGATAGCCGTGTGTCAACTTCTAGATCAGTTTCCCCTGGCTAATGCCCTGAGTAGCCCTCAGTATGAAAGCGGCCTCTCAGTGGAGATAAAGTAACAAGCAGAGCAGGAGCTGGTATTAATAGTTAATTGAGCCTATCACCTCTAAATATTCAAGGACCAGCCATCGAAGAAGAAAGCATCAAGGGTCATATTACCCTGCAAAACCATCTTTACAAGAAGCTGATCTTGACTCAGGTCTAGGTTACTACCAAATTAGAAGTGGGGAGGAAATTTGGCCCAAAGGTATGAATAGACTAATCTCTGTTAGGGACATCTTAGTAACAAGAAATTTTTAAGTATCCAGGGTTGGAGGTGAGGGGATGGGAGGAGTGTTATTGGCTTCTGAGAAATTTATTCTTTTCCTTTATTTGTTTATTAATTTAATACCATTTAGATACAGGGCCTCACTCTGCAGCCCAGGCTAGAGTTCAGTGGTGTGATCATAGCTCATTGCAGCCTCAACCTCCTGGGTTCAGGCAATCTTCCTGTCTCAGCCTCCGGAGTAGCTGGGGCCACAGGCATGAGCCACCACACTCAGCTAATTGTTTTAGTTTGTTATAGAGACTGGGGCTTGGAATGTTGCCCCGGGGGGTCTCAAACTCCTGGCTTCAAGCAATCCTCCTGCCTTGGCCTTCCTAAACTCTAGGATTACAGGCGTGAGCCACCGTGCCCAACCTGAAAAATTTTAAAGTGGAAAAATTCACATTCCCAGCCAAATCTCTCTGCGATTGTATGCCCCAAACTTCATTTCTATGTTCTGCTGAACCTCTAGAGAATTGAGTAGTGAACTTCAAATTGTGTTAAACACCGGGTTCAGACAAACTGAAAATCAGATTATAGCCGACACTGTAAACACAAATCTCATTTTCTTAGAGCAAATCGGGTTGCTGAGGCAGTTCACACTGATCATTAAAATATTGTGTATAAATATAATAAAGAAATTAATATGATAATGATCCTATTTTTAATGAAAATTGAGCAAATCATCAGGTAATATATCTGATTCAAAAATAACTGAAAATCCAGGAAATAAGGTACTTAACAAGAGTAACACAAGCATTCTCTAACAGTATAAAAACATTTACTGAACTATATACATAGTTTTAATTCTCCTTTTTCACCAGGCATGAACTTTTCTCAGACAGAAAGTTAAATATGTAACATTTCTAACCAATTTAAGTAAATGTTGGATTTAACAATTTAGTTTCATTATCATATTAGTGGACTTCCAAATACTTTCATGGAAAGCTGAACTCATAGCAATAACCTTGTTAAAGATTAGCAGAAAAGCAAGCCATTGGAGTAACTGGCCCAGGGGTTGCTCTAGTATTCAGTTCAGGAAAAGCAGATAAATTATAGTACTTTCTAAGGGCATTTCTGGAAAAGAATGAATCTAATCCAATTCTAATTATCTCCTATACTCCCTCTGCTTATTTCAAAACCCAATCATTTTCTTCTATATTACACTGAAATAAATAATTTTTGGTTTAATGCAATAAAAAGAGAATTGTTGATAAATGTTATAGGCTTAAGTAAAAATAATGTTTATTTGGCAATTATCAAATATAGGAACTGCAAAGACAAAACTATTCTAAAAAATTTTTTAAACATTTTAAAAAGACTTAGGAAACCAAATGTTTGAGATTCAAAGCCTGATTCTCATAATTTGAAATTAGACAACAAAAAAGAACAAATTATAAAGAAATAATTATTATTATTTCTCCATGGTTTTACAGAAAAATTTTTTATTAAGATTTCCCACACACAAGAGAACTTTCCTGCTAAAAGAGGAGAATCAAGTTCAAGTAGGAAATAACCTTTTTAAAATAGAAGAACAAGTACACTGGGACAAAGTTCACAGCAAAGACAGGCCTCACCATGAAATTTCCCACACCTAATGAAATTAGGACTTTTATGGTAAAACAAAACAAAACAAAACAAAACAAAAAACAGTTATTTTCAGTTTCCCAAAGAAATCATTTTCAAAGCCAGACACTCTCCCTCTCCCCACCCTACACCCTCAAGTAGGCCTTGGTGTCTGTTGTTCCCTTCTTTGTGTTCACGTGGACTTAAGGTTTAGCTCCCACTTACAAGTGAGAGTTTAGCTCACTTATAAGTCAGAACAAGTATTTGGTTTTCTTTTGCCTGACATTAATCTGCTTACGATTATGGCCTCCAGCTTCATCTATGTTGCTGCAAAGGAAATGAACTCATTCTTTTCTATGGCTATAGTATTCCATGGTGTATATGTACCATATTTTCTTTATCCAGTCTACCATTGATGGGCATTCAGGTTGATTCCATGACTTTGCTATTGTGAATAGTGCTGCAGTGAACATATGTGTGCATGTGTCTTGTGATAGAACGATTTATGTTCCTGTGGGTATATGCTCAATAACGGGATTGCTAGGTTAAATGGTACTTCTGTTTTAAGTTCTTGGAGAAATCGCCACACTGCTTTCCACAATGGCTGAACTAATTTACATGACCACCAGCAGCATAAAAGCGTTCCCTTTCCTCTGCAACCTTACCAGCATGTCTTATTTTTTTTTGACTTTTTAATAATAGCCATTCTGACTGATGTAAGATTGTGTATTACTGTGATTTTGATTTGCATTTTTCTAATGATTAGAGATGTTGAGCATTTTCTCATGTTTATTGGCCACATGTATATCTTCTTTCGAAAAGTGCCTGTTCATCACCTTTGCCCACTTTTTAATGGAGTTGTTTGTTCTTTGGTAATTTGTTTAAGTTCCTTATAGATTCTGCATATTAGACCTTTATAGGATGCATAGTTGGCAAATTTTTTCTCCCTTTCTGTAGGTTATCTGTTTATTCTGCTGATA